AGGTCGAGGAATAATGTAGCGGGGTTTATTAATAAGGGAGAGTTTGCGATTTTAGACCATGATGATTCTAGGGCTTGCCAGAGGGCTCTAGCCTTTGGGCAATCGATGAAGCAGTGATTCAGGGATTCTGGTGTGTCGAGGTTGCATACCTTGCACCAAGAATCCTGTTCGGAGYTGTTTTCTTGGTTACGTCTGATGGCCAACCATTTGTTCACCGGAACTGCTCTGTAGGCTATTAGCCATCTCAGGCTAGCTAACTTGACCGGTCTTGTGGAAAGTATTGTGGTCCAGGGAAGTTCGAAGTGGGTGTTGGCTAGTGGAGGTTCTTCCTTTGTCCATCTATTGTGTAGTGTATTGGATATTGATATGGGTTTGGAGAAAAGTCGATAGCCTATTTTGGGTGTGTAATCTGTTAGCATGTAAGAGTTGGAGATAGTAGAGAGACCCGGAGAGGAGTTCCATGACCATTCCGTTGGATCAATTTCTAGATCTCTAATGCTGATGTGGGGTTTATAGACCCTTTTTCKTTCTCCTTCTATGATTCTAATTCTTTTCAGGTTGTTGCTTTTGAATGCACCTTCTGCTCTGCTTCCTGTATTGATGTAGCTTACCGGATTTCCTGGATCTTCTAGGGTGTGTATATCGCAGCATATCCAGTTCTTGTTGTGGGGTTCGTAGTTCTTGATTGCTAGGACTTCTTGTATTGTAGGTGAGTCAGTGGTAGTGGCCCAGTCTCCATATTGCCAGATTTGATCTGACTTAAGTAGAGCTCGCCATTGTCGAGGGATGCAGTCTGTTATGTTGCTTAGGTTGGTTTGTAAGTGGTGTATTCTTTTCAGTTTGTCTCTTAGGTCTCTTTCCGTTCTCCATGTGTTGTTTGTTTCATCCCATATGTGCTTGATTTGCCATATCCCCTTTTCTAGCCAGTGTCCCCATTTGGGATCTGATTTCGAGAGTGGGAAACTTTCTCCTTTATCGTTCTTGATCTTTGGGTTGCCAAAGAGGGGTTGCCTAAGGACTTCGTCTTTTTTCTTTGGACCTATTYTGATATCTGGGAAAATGGACCTCCAGTTGTGTAGGATTTGTTYCCATAGGGTTCTAATGTGAGGGGTGTTGTTTGTGTTCTGGTGAAGTGTTTGGTTGGGATGTCTCTGTTTCCCTCTAGGGAGTGGCCAAAATTTGTTGAAGATCCAATAGAGGCCTGTCATGTTGGTTGGGGAAGTAAATGGTGCAAGTTCTCTGATATGATTGAGGGCTAGGGGTGTCCAGTGTAGGTTGTCCTGGAGGGCTAGTCTTATGACCCATTTGATTTGTAAGGCCTGAATTTGTCGAGTTGGGTCTATGAGTCCTAGGCCCCCTTTGCTTTTTGGGCTGGTGACTATCTGCCAGGCCACCTTGTGGATAAAGTGTTGTTTGTCCGACTTACCTGTCCATAGGAATGCTGCTGCTTTTTTCCTCAACTGACTTTGGAAATCAGAAGCTGGGAACCATATGGAGGTAGAATACCACATCATTGCTAGGATTGAGTTATTGAGTGCTAGTACCCTGCCTAATAGGAAAGTGTGTGTGGCTTTCCAGGTGTGCATTCTGTTAACCATTGAAGATAAGAGTGACGCTGCCGATATTTGATGGCATCCTTTGAGATTGAGGTTGATGCCCAGGAAACGGATTGGAGAGTCTGGGTCTGTCCACTGTAGTCCTGACGGGGTTAATTCTATGGGAGGGGGTGTTTCTGCGGTCCACCAGGCTATTGTTTTGGTCCAGTTAACTTTCATTTMTGAGGCTAGTTGGRATGCTTGCATTGCTCTTATCAGGGCTTGGAAAGAGGAGTTTGTTGCTCTGATCAGTACTGTCAGGTCATCTGCGAAAAGGAGGGTGGTGGGGATATGGAGGAGTTTGCCTCTTTCGTCCTTGATGTTTTCTATTCTTTCGATGGATCTATCCTTTCTCAGGAAGGCGGCAATGACTTCCATGACGAAGATGAAGATCGGTGCTGCTAGTGGGTCCCCTTGTCTTACTGACCTTGTCATTGGATAGGGGTTCGAGAGGAAGCCGTTGACCTGAACTATCCCTTGAGCGTCATTGTAGAGAATTCTCACCCACTTCCGGAAGATTGGGCCTACTCCCATTTTTTCCATGCTGGCCTGTAGAAAGTCCCAGTTTACTTGGTCGTATGCTTTTTCAAAGTCAAAGAAAAGGATGGCCACCGCGATTCGTTTTTGGTTGATTATCCTCGTGGTTTCGCATAGTGTCATTATGTTATCTAGGATGAGTCTTCCTGGAATGAATCCTGTTTGAGGTCGTGAAGGGCTTTGTGTAGTTCTTCTAGTGATATGGGTTCTTCTAGAGTTTTGGCCATTTCTGATGAGATGGATTGTTCTAGGTGGGTCAAGAACTTTTCTCTAGCTTTSTTTGTTGAGTTAYYGTTGTCTGTAGGTGTTTTGGAGGTGTAAAGCTCTTTGTAAAAGGTTGTTGCTATATTWACTAGTTTAGTTGTCTCTGTGGTTGGGATACCGTTCTCGTCTTGTAGGCATTCTATTTTGGAATTTCTGGAATTGGCTTTTATCTTTTGGAAGAA